TTTTGATTTCGATGAACGGTGTTGCCGTGGTGACTAAAAATAGAAATTTCTGTGAAATTCTTTCAAAATGCTACTCCTCCTACAGTTTTGGTCTGATTTCAATATAACTTGGCACACAAGTAGACTACACTAAGATACATAATTCTGTATATGGGTTTTTGATTTCGATGAACGGTGCTGCCGTGGTTACTAAAAATAGAAATTTCTGTGAAATTCTTTCAAAATGCTACTCCTCCTACAGTTTTGGTCTGATTTCAGTATAACTTGGCACACAAGTAGACTACACTAAGATACATAATTCTGTATATGGGTTTTTGATTTCGATGAACGGTGTTGCCGTGGTGACTAAAAATAGAAATTTCTGTGAAATTCTTTCAAAATGCTACTCCTCCTACAGTTTTGGTCTGATTTCAATATAACTTGGCATACAAGTAGACTACACTAAGATACATAATTCTGTATATGGGTTTTTTAATTTCGATGAACGGTGTTGCCTCGGTGACTAAAAATAGAAATTTCTGTGAAATTCTTTCAAAATGCTACTCCTCCTACAGTTTTGGTCTGATTTCAATATAACTTGGCACACAAGTAGACTACATTAAGATACATAATTCTGTGTATCGGTTTTTGATTTCGATGAACGATGTTGCCGTGGTTACTAAAAATAGAAATTTCTGTGAAATTCTTTCAAAATGCTACTCCTCCTACAGTTTTGGTCTGATTTCAGTATAACTTGGCACACAAGTAGACTACACTAAGAAACATAATTCTGTGTATCGGTTTTTATACGCCCGTCTTAAGACGGGACGTATTATGTTATAGGCTTCATGTCCGTCTGTCTAGCTGTCCATCTGTCTGTCTGTCCATTCGTGTCCGGCTCATAACTTCAATACTATTAAGCATAGGATTATCAAACTTTGTCAATTGATACTTCTTGGGTAGACAATGTGTCGCACACAAAAAGTAGGTCGCTCTGACCTTTAATAAAGATGCTATGGCCAAATATGGAAAAAACCTGTCCGGCTCATAACTAGAAAACTATTAGACCTAGAGCTATCAAACTTGGCAAAAGTATACATCTTAGGTAGAAGGTGTGTCGCGACCTATTTCAAGGTCACTGTGACCTTTAATTTTAGTGAAATTTTTTTAAAAACTAAGTTTTTTAAATTTTAAATTTCATAATCCTTAAAATGTAAAAAATAGAGTTGTATCCTTATTAAAAAGTATTAAATCAAGTAAAAACTTATTTTTTTCATTATATACTTTACAGCAATTTTAAACAAATTTCAATGTTAATGAGAGGAATTCAGTTTGTCCCATGGGCATAATTATCAAGCACTGGTCAAGAAGAATTTTGATAGCAGAAAGTTGCATGTCAAATTAGAGAGAAATTAATGAGTTTAGTGTGAGGAGGTAACTAGTAGAGCATCGTTGTAATCTATATCCCTTGGGTATTGGGCAAATGGACAGCCAGCCAGCCTAGCTGTTAGATTAAAATAGCTCTTGTTGGCTAGCCTAAATTTTAAAATGAATTTGATGAAAAGTAATTAAAACTTATTTGATATTGCATAATAAACTAATAATCTGATATTATATATTAATATTAATTAATTAAAAACTAATTTTATGGGGTGGGGTTGAATTAGCATGCGTAGTTGTCCATACATGTATGTATTAAATATAAAACCTGTCTGGCATTAAATCTAAAAAGAAATCATGGAGTATTTTATATGTTTTAAAAGTGTTTTAGGATAAAAAGTGCAGATCCATTAATATTTAGGGAGTAATGAGTAGACAAGCATCTAGTCAAAGATTAATTAATGAGTTCAATGTAGGAAGGCTATCTGATCAAGTGCTGCCTTATCTGTATCCTTTTGGGATTAGACAGAAGAACTGCTGGTCAGTTTATAGCATATGTCATTTGATGGCCAGCCTTTCTTTTCAAAATTAAGGCCAACATTTTTTTATTTACTGTTTTACGGGAATTTTTTTTCAAAAAATTGAGTCGGGGGGGTCGAAATAAAAATAAAAATAAAAGCTTCAAATTCAAGCAGTCGGTCAGAAAAACAAAAATAAAACGAAAAAATGTAACAATTTTTTTTATTTTTAAATTAAGAGTGGAATTGTTTTATAACCTTAATTTGGCAGAAAAGGGTGTATGCAAAACAATTTTATCAATTTTTTGTTTTTGGTATTCAATAAATAATAAGATTTGAGGATTTATGAGTAGCTATCATATGGCAAGAATATAGTAACGCTTTTCATGGATCAGTTAAATTATTTCACAAGTGAGACTAATTGAAAAAAAAATGTCTGTGTATCTTTTTCAATGCAATCAAAATTAATATACACATAGGTGGATAAACCATATCTTATCTTTCTCTTGAAAACATATTCAAATTGCCTAAGTGCCACAACTTTCAACGTACATGATTGTAGAAAATACACATATTTACTATAAGTATATAGATGTATAAAAGGCAATGACAATTACTTTGTTTACTGCAGAATTTGAATATTTGTTAAAACTTGTTCTTATCCACAACTCAAAAAAAGGTCATATTTGTATGGACGTATCATCTGCAGCTTTTTTTCCCTATTGGTAAAATTTTTTTGGCAAAGAAAGCTGTCATTACTACGCTGATGTACATTAATTTGTTACATAACAAGCAAAATTCCATTTTGAATCGTAATATGTGTGAGTAATATGATATTAACGAGTGAAAGTTGTGACTCGAATTTCCTCAGTCACGCCACTTTCTACAGTGTATGTTCAGTCGTTACATGTAAAATAAAACATGACTGTCATAGAAATAAGTTTCAGAACAATCTTCAAGCCGTATTTCAATGCTTTGAAACAATTGTCAAAGATAATACATACTTAAAACCTCTCAAAACAAGGGGCTGACAGAACCTCAATTTCCACGTGGCCCTATGCACAACATTTAATCACTTTGATTACTGTTTCGTCTATTTTATTCTATCTTTCATTAAAAGTTAATCTGAAATTCATACCTTTTTCTAATAAATGAAAAGTCACTTTTTAAAATGACTGGATCGATTAAAAAATATATTAAATACTACGATTCTGACATTTTGCCGCTAACTGTTATGCTGTGAAGTGACTATCCACGCTTCCCATTCATGTTCATTAGTTTTGTCAACTGTGATTGGATGGATATATTTACCTTAGCCAATGACAATGCTTTTATTTTTTCAGTGACTATAAATAAGCTATGGGTGGGAGAAACAAAAATAAAACTTGAAGAAGAGACTTTTATTTTTATTTCATTTTAGCCCAAATTAGGGTCGGCGCTCCCGTAAAACGGTAAATAAAAAAATGTTGGCCTAATTTGGCATAGATTAAGTTGTTAAGACTAATTTGATATTGTTTATTATGATGTCTGGCATTTGACAAAGTCTAACACAAACAGTATAGAAGTATACCAGTTATGTAATATTTGTTATAATTATGCCTACAGCACAGGGGATGGATAAAGAAATATTTTTTTAAAAAATGGAAAAATCATGGAAATCTTAGAATCAAGGTTGACATGATTTTCATGCACTCTAAACTGTTAAAGATAATTGTGTAATTTTTTGACGGGCGTATCATGCTGATGCGTGGCACTTTATTGATTTCGATGAATGGTGTTGCCATGGTTACTAAAAATTAAAATTTCTGTGAAATTCTTTCAAAATGCTACTCCTCCTACAGTTTTGGTCTGATTTCAATATAACTTGGCACACAAGTAGACTACACTAAGATACATAATTCTGTGTATGGGTTTTTGATTTCGATGAACGGTGTTGCCGTGGTTACCAAAATAGAAATTTCTGTGAAATTATTTCAAAATGCTACTCCAAATACAGTTTTAGTCTGATTATAATATAATGTGGCATGCAAGTAGACTACACTAAGAACATAAAGAGACTTAATCAAGGATCATTATTCTATTTATTGCTGTTGAAAAGTTTCAATTCCCAACTGCTTTTAAGAACTTTTCTCTTCCTTTGTTATAATAACAAACCAGTAGAGCTTCAGTCTCGACAGAGACTTCTGGTTTTAGCACCCGATCCTCAAGTTTTTTTTCTCAATGAAGGGGGGGGGGGGGGGGGGGGGAGGGTTAGGAATTTTTGGAATTTCTATAAGGCCCATGGGCCTCTTGTTTGTTCCCTACCCTGCCTATGGGTATTTAGGAGGCTAAGTAACTAAACTAAGCAATTGCTAAGTTCATAGTTATGATTTGCAATGGTGCCAGCCTCTCAGAATTGTGAATGCTGTAGCATTTATCTTAAATCATGAACCAAATTCTATCATTTGAAAGTTGTTGCATGATTCTCAGGTGACCTATAAGACCCATGGGCCTCTTGTTTAAGAATCTTTCTACCGTTAATGTGTTTGTCTTTTTCATTTTAAGAAAAATACTCTTTAAAACGTGACATTCCGTTGTGACTCCTCCTGTGCGCTATATTTTAAACTTCTATATAATAAAGGCAAATAATCATTATTGAATTAAAATTTCAATGATAATTAGATGATATTTATATTTGTGCATCTTTTGGTATAGTGCATTTGATAATATGACGCCAAATATAAAAGATATGGACACTGTGACATTACTTTTGGATCAACCCACGTACATTTACGATGTCAAAAACAGACTTGTCTTTAAGATAACTAAATTAGCATCGAAAAACATGTCAGTTTTTAAAAAGGCAAGAATTTGGAAAACAAAAAGCTGTAAATATGTAGTACTTTTTCAGAAAAACTACCTTTCGTCTGCTTTACATCTAAAATGAAAATATATACAACAATGGATACCAAATCTACAGTTTTGTTTGTAAACAACTTTTATTATGAACCAATTGTACTGCTGAAATACCTGTAATTCCAGATTTTTCAAACATTAACACATAATATAGCATTACAGTTTTATAATCATAGCACACAATTATGTATAAGAATATCTTCATGCTTACTTTGTTTCCTTCTTCAGGAAATAGAGAAGTATTTTGGGGAGTTTTGGAAAGCTGTACCAGAGGAGGACAGAGATTGGTTAAGTGAATCTCTGAATGATCGGGAATATGCAGTAGGTTTAAAGAAACTTAATGATAATACCAAGGAAAACCTGGAGTCAATGAAAAAGTCCATAGTGGAACTATTCACAGATGAGAAAAATACAAAAGTTGAATTGCCTTCTTCATGGGCTTTAATGGAGCAGTTATTATATGAAGGAGGCTGGAAGGTTTTGTCTCTGAGTGAAATCTGGAAGCTCAACACATCTCTTCCTCATGAATACCAAATTAAAAGTGATGAAGAAATGTCAAAATTTTTAAAATGTTTCCATGACAGTGGCCTTCTTTTGAATTTTGAAGAAGTGGAATTGAAGGAACATGTTATACTAGATATTCAGTGGCTTGCTAATGCTTTCAGTAAAATAATTGCTGATGAAAACCACATCACTAAGGACTGTAAAAGAAAATTAATCAAAGAATGGAAATCATTCAACAAAACGGGGGAACTTAAAGATAAAGTGATAGATGCTTTGTGGAAAGAAGAACCCTCTTACGTGAAACATAAAAGTGAAATTATGCCATACATGGAGAAACTCCAAATGCTGGTACATTTGAATGCAGATGAAGCTGTATCAGAAGATGGCATGTCATGGTATGTCCCATGTATGAACAAAAAGCAGTTTAAAGCTGACTTCCTTGAAGATAAATGGGAATGCTCATCCATTTTGTGCTTCAGATTCACTTCCTTTGCCATGTTTGTTTTCTACAGACTGATAGCATACTGCATAAGTTCTCTTAGGTGGAGTGTTGCAAAAGATGAAGACAATGATGGATGTCCATGTCTTTATCAAACAGCAGCAGTGTTTGATCACAATGAACACACTGTTGTTGTTGGCATATGTAATGATGATATTCAGTTGCAAGTGTTGCGAATCAGACCATTGACTGTAGACAAAGAGGTATCAAATGAAATTGGGGACTCCATTGAAAAAGCCATAGAAAAATTGACAGAAACATTTATTGACACAAAAATATTCCACAGAGGATACAAATGTCAAAACATTATTTGTAATGAGAGGGATCTATCTTTCACCCTTGTAAGTGAGCTCTCCAAAATCAAGGCAGAAGAAACGCAGTGCAAGTGTCAACTTCAGGAGAAACATATGATAAATGTACAGACGACTATGAGTTTTTGGGAAAAGGTAAATATTGTTTAACTTAACTTATCCTAAGTTAGATTAAAAGTATGTAGAATCATCTTGTTTGTCTATCATCCTAGCCTGTTCCTACAATGTTGTCCAAATAAAATCTTAGTAATGGATATTATATCAGGTTTTCTTTCATTTATTTACATGACCTAGAACTATTGACACCCATTTCACTTGAAAGATGCATGATCTGATAAAAAAATGTTATATTTGTAAAATCCCTTTAATCTCACAAAAAGCATCATGACAATTTAAAATTTAACTTACTGAAAAAATCATATATTATGGACTTAATCAGTTTTAATAAAATTGGTACACAATTTTGATCTTTATACTTCTTTATGCATAAATTAACTTATCCATTTTTTAAAAGAAAGTTTAATTTTATTTCAGACAAAAATGAGTGTCTCTAAAACTCCAGTGGCCTCTGGTGGACATGACCTTGAGGGACGATCAAGATTCGCAAAACTTGGAATGGCAACAAACGATGTGTTAAATCAGGCATACAGAGATATACTAGAGATGGAAGTGCCTCCATCCGATATTGAGAAAAAAGCTAAAGCATCACCAGCTTACAAAAGATTGCGTCCAGAGCAAGAACATCTCTTGCTAGATGCTAAGCATTCGGGATATAAGGACTTTGACATTTCATTAACATACATGTTAATCCGAAACATTTGTTCAAAGATCCCTAAGCCAACAAAAGGAAAGTGGGGAGAAGAGCCAGCAGCAGGAGAGGTGACAGTGGGTGACGATATCGAGAGAATTAGGATAATCCGAAACAGTTTGACTGCACATGTGAGTTCAGCCTCCACCCCTCAGACAGAATTCGATGACACCTGGTCGACGATGTCGGATATCTGCCAAAGATTGGAAACTTTCACTGGGAAGAAATACTTGTATAAACTTAATAGCATTTATAAATTGACTTTAAAAGAAGTAGGTGAAGATGCAGTAAAAGCTATCATAGAAAAAATTGCCAAGGATCAGCACGAACAACATGAACTATTAAAGACAGTCGTGTCAGATGTTCAAGAAATAAAGTCTCAAATAATGACATTAAAACGAAATTGAAGACTGGAGGCAACTTTTCAGAAATAATCTTTTTTACTGATAGAATGTTTACAGGACTAGTAAGTAATATTTATAACATCTAGTTGAAGATAGCGGACATCTGCAAAACACTCTGAAGTTTCATTGGTGAAAAGTCTTTGGATAAGGTTAATTATATTCATAAACTGAATATGAGAACTTTGATATTTCCTTTACAAACAAGTTAATAAGAAATATTTGTTCAAAGATTCCTAAACCAACAAAAGGAAAGTGATGAGTAGATCGGGCAACAGGAGAGGTTACAGTGGGTGTTGATATCGAGAGATTAGGTTAAAAGGAACACGTGAGCCCAGACTCAACCCCTCAGACAAAATTCAATAACACTTGGTCGACGATGTCGGATATCTTCAAAAGACGGGGAAGCTTCTCTGGCAAAAAAAAATTTGGATATCCTTAATAGCATTCATAAACTGACTTTAAAAGATGAAAATGCTATTTCAGCTATTATAGAAAAAGTTAACAAAGAAAAACCTGATGTGTCATGTTAAATATGCAAAAAGGTATTGTCAGAAGTTAGCCAGATGTGAAAAAGTTAAAGCAAAATTGATGCTGATAGCCGATGCTGCCAAAATTATACTTTTTATACATCAAACATAGACTTTAACTTTTACGAAATTGAAGATCAGCCTTTATCAGTTGTGTAACAATATAGAAATCATGATTTTATTTTTATTCAGGAAAAATCAAAATGTTAAGATGTATCAACACTATGTGAGAGGAGATGGGTGAACAATAGATGCAGTCGTTTAAAAAAATACACCCATACTGTATACATGGTTATTTTCCCCCCCCCCCCCCCTTGTAATTTTCGTCCTTTTGAACTTGTGAACAATTTTGCCCCGTTTTAAATTCGCCCAGTCATAGTTCTGTTTAAGAAACTATGAGGTGTAATTTGAATTTGCCCCGTTTTAAATTCGCCCAATCAAGGATAGAAAGGGACGAAAATAAAACGTGGGCAAACATTTCCCTGTATATAGTATACACATGTAATTGTAATTGATTCATTACCCTATAATTAAAAAATACACCCATATAGACATGTAATTATATTTGATTCATTACTCTCTAATCATTATTCAGTATATGTTTTGTATTTCTTTTGGATAACCGTTCTGTGTATAGAGTTTCAATTGTTACTCATGTATAGATAGCCTTCAGAGTTGTGCACTGAGGTAATTTAAGGATTTGGTAGATTTACTGCATTTCTAACTTTTAATGGCATGATTTAAAATTTCTTTGTTAAATATATGCTGGATGTGGAACTGTTTATTAATGATAGAAAAGGACAACTTTGTCACAACGTATTCTAGTGAGATTACAATAATCATAGAAAATGGTGCTAAAAATGAAATATATGTGAAAAACTTAGCATTTTATGTGCTTCTTATCAAGCTCTCACTATATATTAGGGAGATTGAAAGGAGGCTATGCAAATATACTTTGAACATATGTAGATAATATCCAAAATAAAGAACAGAGTCAACATTTTTAACGAAACATGAGTTCGGCCTCCAACTCTTAGAATTCAATGACGTGGGCAGCTATCTGCGAAAGATTAAAAAAACTTCATTGGGAAGAAGTACTTGGATAACCTATACCTCACGGCAGGAGTTGGCAGGATAATCATTCATGATTGACATTCATTGCTCAATGGCCCAGAGTGCTGAGTAAAGGTTAAAATTTGAAGACCTTCACTGGCATAATTATGGTTACGTCTCTACATAAGTTAATACTTCTCGAATGGAACGTGATAGACAGTTATTCCTTATATTTCCATTTCATTGTGAAATATACTTAAGGTAGTCCGAACCTCAGGTTTATAAAATTAGCAATTAAGTAATCAAAACTACTCATAGAAGTATCTCCAAATCCACAAAGTTAAGTAAATTTATCCACAGTATTTCTTTAAAGTTAAAGATTAAAGTTGATCATATTATACATGGAAAATTGTCAAATCTGCAATATTTTTGCAGAAAAGGCGAATTGGAATATCAGCAATGCATTTTCTAATTGCGTATTGATCAACAAATACATTTGTGGTTAAAAAACGATAGGTATCCAGGCATTCAGAAAAATTGTCATGATTTTTATACTTATTTGGTATTTTTGTCTTCTATTTCCGACATGTATTTTATATTACATAGTGTAAAAGGCTTTTGCTATCATTGCAAGACACCACAAAACACTCATATTCATATCATGCTAATAAGCATTGGTATCTAAGGTTTGATTCAAGAAAATCTTATTTCTCTAAGACGGTATTAATTTGTTTTCCTTTTATAGTGTACAAATGTCAACTTTTATAAGACCTTTTCCAAGACTTCCAAAAACTTTGAATCTTATAAAGATGATTGAAATGAAATTTGTTGCATAAGAAAAGTTCATTTTCAGGCTTAATTTTGATGCATTTAATTTAAATATTAATTTTTGGAGTTATCCTTCCTAGCTGAGTATCGGATGTCCTTAATTATATATTGAGATGGTAAAGTGCGGGATAGTTTGATTTAAAACAATTCTGTACCTCACTACTTGTGCATTTTTTTTTAGAGAAGCTGCATAGTTCATAATTGTATGCAAGTGTCGAAAGAGAATATTTTCACGATTGCGTATTCTTAAAAACCCAGATTTAAGATCCATTACTTTGTTGATTGTGATTATATGTTTATTTCATTTTACTTTTGTATTGTAAACTAAATATTCAGTTGGATGAAAATATTTACAAAATGTCACTTGTTTATATGTATTTACACGTATGTTATATCTTTATTAGTACAGAGATTTGCTATCCTACTCTGTGGCTTGTGATGATATGTTTATTTTACTTATGTATTGTGTACTTTATATCTAACATGCTTCAATGAATTTACAGAATGTCTTATGATGAATTAACAAATATGCACACATGACATGTTTCTACTGAGTATTTTGGGGCTAGAAAGCTCATTGAGAATTGTATTATTGAAAACGACGGTGAATGTTGGAAAAGTCCGTTTCTTGATCGATCTGTATGTGAATCAACAGTCACATCAATACTGATTATTTATCTACCTTTGTTCTCGGGACTTACGGGAATAGCAATGCCAGTAGAGAGGTCCATATATCTATCAATATTTTACTTTAATCAAAGATCATCATATGTTATAATTAAATAAAATTTAAGTGAACAGATTCTGGACAAATTTTGACATATACAGCAATTGCATTATGTATGTCTACAAATGCATATAACGGTATTTTTCGTCTCGTAAGTATTTCCGAAATCAATCATTTACTATTTCCAACTTCTTTAAAAGTCTTTAAAGAATTTTCTATTAAATGAAATAAGATTTTTAATTACTCTTTGTGTGAAATGCTATTAAGATATATAAGTCGTAATATTATGGAGAAAAAATTAACTTCTAATCTGTATCCAAGTACTTTTAAATTTAAAACTTCTTGCCCTTATATTGTTCGTAGATTTTAAAAAAGAGTTCTTTTTTTATTATAGATATGGGGCTAAATTATGGTGAATAGATTTGTGTTTTACAGAAGGATATGAAGATAACGAACAGTATTCAATCTCAAAGTCCATAAAACAATACAAATTAAGAGCAGAGCAAACAAAGAACATCAGAGGTGGGACCAGGTGCCATGGAGGAGTGAGCATCCCCTGCTGACCGGTCACACCCGCTATGTGCTCATCGTCATGATCGGGAAATAGCGGAAAAATCCGTCAATTCAGTGTATAAATAATGGACTAACAATTAGTATGAAAAACGTCAGTCAGCTTTTGACTCAATGATAAATTGCATTTGCTGACAAGGTCATTGTATCGACCATAGAACTTACGAAATGAGGACTTTAAACGATAATATTGATATTCTTGTTTCATCAACTTGTTCATCCATAATTTACCTCATTGTAGAAATTGTTCATACGAAGAGCATGCTCTTGCGTATCGAATCAACTGAGATATATATACATACTCTTATGCAGGTGATGAAGGTATCTTGCTGCATAAGTAAGGTAAGTTGACGATAGAAAAGTTGAAGCCTTCTTTTCTCCCTCGTTTCACTCCTCCGCAAATAAATATTTTCTTGACTAATTTATTGAAAAAAACAAACAAAAAGAATATACTGTAGGATTGTTGCGTTCGTTACAAATCGCATTTTTATTCAAAACATACAAATCAAACTCAAATTTTACAAGATAAACAATGCAAGGGCTTTGAGGGCAGGGAAAGCCAAAGACACAAAACAACCTGCGATTCTTTGTAACGAACGTCGCATTAATCGAACATTCCCCGGTAAAAGTATTTATAGTGAGCGCTACATCGCTCGTGCATGAAAAACCAGTTTCTTTAGGTACGAAATGTCACGGAAAACACCGAAGTAAAAACGCAAAGAAATAAATATTACGTTTATCATATAGCTTATCATATAGCTTAACATTACCATTGTTCATTGACAATATATCGTCGATATATCCAAATGTCGAGTTGAAGGCGACATCATGTGTTTTCTTTTCACACATAAGATTATGCACAAATTCTGCTTCCTATGAATATTATAATAGGTCTGCTAGTACACTGTAACGGGGTGCAATTGGTACCCCTGGGAATTTTGATAGATTGTTGGAATACCTGGTCTCAAAAAACCACATACATGTAAATTTTGTCAATCAGAAACGCAAGCGTATCTTTGATGTCTACGTAGAGTACTTGTGCGTGCAATCAGAATGTGTTTTAACAAAATATTTTTTCAAATTACCATAACCAGGTAGATAAATTTACGAGTTCCATTTTTAGCTCACCTCAAGGAAGTTGGGGGAGCTTTTGTAATACCCTCGGCGTCGATGTCGGCGTCCCAGGTTAAGGTTAAGTTTTTTGGAGCAGTTTTCTTATTAAGTACTTCTATGTCCTATATTGTTTAGACATGTATGGAAGATGGTTCTAGTGTGTTTCATTGTACCAGTCAAAGTTTCAGATGCTGCAATTTCAGCAAAGGAATGACCAGGTTAATGTTTTTGGAGCAGGTTAACATTTTTGGTAGTTTTTAGTGTACGTCTCATTTCCAAGGAACTATAAGCCCTATGTTGACCAAACTTGCATGGATGATACATCTAAGGATGTACATTACCAGACTTGCTTTTGATGCTAAATCTGACGTACATTTTCAGGTTGAGTGAACAGGTTAATGTTTTTGGTGCATGTTTTATTTCCAGGTAACTATAAGTCCTATTTTGACCAAACTTGCACAGATAATACATCTAAGGATGTACATTACCAGACTTGCTTCAGACGTTGAATCTGACCTACATTTTCCGGTTGAGTGAACAGGTTAATGTTTTGGTGCAGGCTCATTTCCAAGTAACTATAAGGTGCTTCAGATGCTGAATCTGAACTATATTTTTCGGATGAGTGAACATGCAAAAAGTTTTTGGTGCAGGTTTTATTCCAAGTTACAATAAGCCTTATAATGACTAAACTTGTATGGATGATACATCTTAGGATGCATAGTACAGCGTACCAAACTTGTTTCAGATTCTGACCTACATTTTTTTCTGGATGAGTGAAGAGGTTAAATTTTTATACAGGTTTCATTTAACTAACTATTAGCCCTATGTTGTGCAAACTCGCATGGATGATACATCTTAGGATGCACACTAATGAACTTGCTCTGGATGCTGAATTCGACATACATTTTCCAGATAATGGACCAGGTAAAAGTTATAGGTGCAGGTCTATTACCATGATTGCCAAGAACCTATAAGGGCTTATATAAACCAAACTTGCCCAACTGATGAATCAAGGAATGAGAATTCTCAAACTTGATTCAGATGCTGGATTTTAATCACATTTTATGATGAAGAACTAGTTTGAATTTTTATATAGGTCTATTCCAAAGTATCAGATCAAAATTGCATAAATTTTGCATTTTTGGATGTACACTTTTTGTTTGGTAATTGTGTGACTTTGCCTTACTTAAAGTGATTTCAAATTTTCCAAAAGTTCTTCGGAAATTTTGAGTATCCACATCTGATTCACACCACTGGAATATATTGTAATTGCAGAGTATTCATGAAGTTTTTC